TGGCAGTGGGGATAAGAGCTGTAGAATGGTTGATTGGAGTCATTCCAGCAGCACAGCTGACATTGGAGGGTGGTTGCTGCAATTGGCTGTGGAAAGAGAGCTCAAATTTGTGGCAGGTAAGGGCCACTTTAGTTAGGAGAACTGATACACCTGGTACTGTCAAGTTACCCAGAACCCTAGATCCAAGATTCAAGTTATAACACTTCCCAGCGCTATAACTGCCAAGTACACTGAGGTCCAATTCTGGAGTCATGTGAGATGTCACACTTGTTATGACAGGACAAAGGGACCCACCACCCATACCTATATGGGAGCAGCAACACTAGAAGATGCCACTTGGTGCTATCTCTCATCTACTGCTGATTCCTAAAGATTCCAAAACCCACCAATGGCCCAAAGTAACTTGAGAAACTTCTCTAATCCTTCCATAATTCTTTTCCAGGCAGAGCAGAAGGACTCTTCCAGGTAATTGATATCGTTTCTTAATCTTAACTAACACAGTGTTCCACTACATTGTCACAAAACAATTTATTTCTACATTCCTAAATGAATAAAGCTATGATTATTGACATAACACATATACAATATATAGTCACACAAGGGAGACAGAGTCACATTGAAATTACATGCTTTGGGAAGGGAAAAAGAAATGAAGAGTTAGACCAAATTTTTAAAACTCTGTATGCTCCTTATTTAAGATCTGAAACATATAGCATACTGTCAACAAAGACTAATGTTAGTATGGGAGATTGATGGACATGTGTTATTGCTGTTATACTATCTCTACTGCATCAATTGAAAATATATGGTTGTGTCACAAAATGAAACACAAGGATGATGAAGCTGCTCAGTGAGCATGTCTTCATCTCCACTTCCTTCCCCAGTCCTCACATCCCCTCTACATACATAGGACAGACCTCTCTATACAATGCAGCATCTACATTGTAACTGCATTTGGAGATTGTTCTTTAGAAAGATAACTACTTCTTTGCCTACACAAGTATCTTCTAGTGTTTTCCATGTGTTCTCCTGGATATCATCATGTTAAGCAAGATAAGCCTGACTCAAAAAGGCAAACATTACATCTTTTCTCTCATATGCAGAATACAGATCTAAAAAATCAAAATGTAAAATGGGGACTGTGGGAGGAGAACCAATGGAAGGTTGGAGGGAGAAAGGATATGGTGATGCATGGGTGAACATGATCAAAGTACATTATGTGCATGTATGGAAATAGAATAGTGAATTCTTTTGCATAATTAATATTTGGTAATAAAATATTAATTTAAAATTAAATGAATAAATTGAACAAAATAAAAAGGATAACTGATTTTATTTGAGGTATTTATGAGAAAACTAAGTTTATATTGGAGTGAACCACAATTCGACTGGTGTCTTCATAAAAATACATTATTGTGAAGATACACATAGATGGAAGACAATTTGAAGGCACTGTGAGAAGACAGAGGTGTGTATACAAAGGACAGAGGCCTCAGTAGAAATCACCCTGTCAACATCTTGAGCTAGACTCCCAATCTACAGAACTGTGATCATAAAAATTTCTCTTATTAAGTCATCCATACTATGGCACTTTGTTATGGCAGTACTAGAAAACTAATACCATGATCAAAACCCTCCACCATGAACAAAAGAATTCATTGAACCATCACAATATTTTTAAAGAGTTATCATGTTCAACAAGAAATAAATTTCTCTTCATTCAGAAGAAAAATGGTCTTTCCTGAGTGTGTCAGTGTTCATTCAAAAGAGAGCTGATTGAATATTGGTGAAAATGTGAGGATATGTCAAGTAAGTAATAGTCAGGCAAGATGCTCATAGGGGTCCTATTCCTCATCATCATATTCAGGTTCTTGTTCCACTGATTCCCTTGTGTGGAGTTGTAGAAAAATACCTGCCCTCAAGATCAAGTCATTACTCAAAGAGCTTGGGTTATGTGTTTTATTTCGATGAGAAGAATGCTCAGCACCTTGCCCAGATATGCAAGACAAAAGACCTACTCAGGAAGAGTAGATATGTGATTGAGTCAATTGGGTCCAAATGAGGAAGGAACATCCCTGTGAGATGATATAACTGTTTCATCCTGTCCATGCAGGGATGCTGAATATGGTTGTTACTGCTTGACTCCTACAGTCTCTACATGTCAGGGTTCAACTTACAAAACTCATCATTGTTGCAGAAACATCACTATCCATCTGTTCTCATCAGTATATACCCTTAAAGACAAGTTTTATGAGGAAGAATTCACTGTGACTGATTTCCAGCACCCATGCTAGGTATATATAACCTGGGTCTCTCCAGCATTTCAGCTCAACTCCATTTTACTATAACACATTGAGCTTCTCTAATAAATTCCAACCTTCCTTTTGGCTATCTATATTTCAAAATATTAGGGAACTCAACTGAATTTTATACATAGATATATGATAAATAGTGATGTGTAAATATAGCTATGATATTTTAAAATTTAATAAGCATCAAAATGTCTACATGAGTATATTAATGTACATCCACCTTAATTTTGTTGTCAATATTTTGTACAGAAGAAACATCTATCTTCATTAACTATTGCTGACTGCAGTAAAAGATGTGTAGTATTCTGTGATCACATTTATGACCACTTTTCCAGATCAGTCATAACATTTTTCATGCATATTTCTTTCACATTGTAGAATATGTATCAAATTAAGACATTGTCAAAGGTCAAATATAGTAATTATTGGGCATTTACCAATTGTTATGAAGCACATTCAAGAAGAGACACAGCCCTAAAGAATTATATATATTATATATACGTGTCTGTGTGTATTTAAAACAATAAAATAAATCGTATACATAACAAAGTATAAATATCCCAATGACATTAAGAAGTATTATGAATAAATGATTCACACAAGGTAAGCAGATTAATGGTAACATACTAAACACATATTTCATGAGAAGTAAAGAAATGATGATAATTAATGTCTCTTGGAAATTATGAATCTCACAATAAGAAAAATGTAAATAATTAAATGCTTTTTCCCCTATGTAAACTGCAAATGTAGAAAAAGTATTTGGAGGAAGATGTGACACACCAAGAATAAGGGTGTTAAATCTGTTCAAAAATTCAGGAAACTCTTGAACCTACCTCTAAAATTAAAAGCTAATAGGTTATAGCCAATAATTATAACCCAAGCATAAATTTTATCCAAATATTTCAGAGAATATCTAAAAGAACACTCAGTTTTTAAAAAATGCAATAAAATAATTTCTGAAACATTGTCAACCTCAGAAATGCTGCTAATGGGTGCTGGTTGGCTCACTCCTATAATCCTAGCTACTCAGGAGGCAGAGATCAGGAAGATCGCAGTTTGAAGCCAGCCTGGGCAAATAGTTTGCAAGACCCTATCTCAAAAAACTCATCACAAAAAAGGGCTGTTGGAATGGCTCAAGGTGAAGGCCCCATTTTCAAGTCCCAGTACTACAAAAATGCTCCTTATTTTGAATATCATCATGTGTAATATAAAAATATTGAGCATTAAAAAATAAATGAATAAATATGAAACCCAATAACATGATTCACTAAATTACACAGATGAGATTAAGAAGACATGCAGTTCATCCATTAGTTTGATATTTAATGACATCAAATAAAAGAACATTTATTTAATAAATTACACATGTATACCACAAAAAATTGATAAAAATTCACTAGACTTTTTGAAAATAGCAGTGTGTAAGAAAAATGTGGTCAAATACTGACAATCAGTTACTATATGCCTCAATTCCTTTTCTGTTCCATGATTATATTACATCATTTCTTTGAAGTGGAGACTTCTGGCATATAAAGAAACATATTCATGCAAACAAAGGCCACACAGACAATGCAAGGAAAGACCTTCCTCTACAAACCTCCTTCTTCCAAATACTATTCACCTGTTTACAAAATAAATCAATGTTATGTTAGTGGGGTAGGATCTTCCCATATTTTCAGATCTGACATATAATGCATTACAGACATGTGGTCTGGTTGACTCATTAAAAAGTTACTTATCAATGAACCCTGCATTGTAGATGTACTTTTCTCTATAAAGAATCTTATATTTGTGTGACACCTGATAACTGCACTTGTTGTAATGACCTGTTGTTTTAGAGAAGATTCAGGCCTTGGATTAGCCTACAACATGGAGGACTGAAGGAAATTCTCACTCTGTTCAAGTACTTTACTACACTTGATGTCATTGGAGTAAAGATTGCTTTTTCCATTGTTTTATTTTATTAGTATTAGGGTTTTTTCTCATTCCATTGAAGACATGCTTATTATTGATATTTACAATTATTTCAAACAACTGATATGATCTAATTAATCTAATTTTATATTATATATATATAGTATTATTGAATACGGTAGATATTTTTGCTAGTGAAGGATACATTTTGCCAGTATCAGGTCTCAGTATAAACTTTCCAGAATATGAATGTCCACTCCTTTGATTCACAAGAGGACTAACTGTCGAATGTAATTCTAATGGCTCTAAAGATGATCAGGAGACGATCATTTTTAGAATGTGGTCATGAATTCACTTAACATTTTCTTTGCTCTCTCCAACTTGCCTGATTCTGAGAAAACTACACAAAAATTTTGCTAAAACTTGTCTCTACTACATACTCAGTTTCTGTGGATCCCAAGTAGAAAAATACATTTAAAAAGTTGAGATAGTGTGTCAATATTTAAGAGAAAGACCAAAACCAACTCCAGGTTTTGAGCTGAGTTAAAATTCAAATGGCCATTACATTACCTGGTTATTTAAGGAAAAAAAGAGTTTAGTGAGAAAAGATTCAGCCATTCTGTATCACAAGGAGTCAAGTCAATTTAACTCAATCTAGAAACCCAATTCCAAAAGAAATGATCAATCAAAGAAAAAGAGATGCTATCCTGCCAATGAGTTTCCTCAAGGCTTCCTTCATGTCCCTGTTCCTTAGGCTATAGATGAATGGGTTCAGCATTGAGGGACAATGGAATACATCCCTGAAGCCACTGCAGTCTTTCTGGGTGAGTTGGTAACCCCAACAACTGTCCCATAGAACAAGGACACGACTGACAAGTGAGACCCACAAGTGGAAAAAGCTTTATACTTTCCCGCTATTGATGGTATTCTGAAGACAGAGGACACAATGTGAAAATAGGAAAACAGAATTCCAGAGATAGAAGCCCCACCAAAGATGTAAGTTTCAACATATATCAGTATATTATCAATGTGAGTGTCAGAACATGAAAATTTGAGGACCTGTGCAAGTTCACAGAAGAAGTGGGGGATTTCAAAGTCTGTGCAGAATGACAGCCTCAATAACATCAGACTGTGCAGCAGTGCATCCAAAATACTAAAGGACAAGGCACATAAAATCAACACAACACAGAAGCGTGGGTTCATGATGACTGTGTACCTAAGTGGTTGGCAGAAAGCCACATAACAATCATAAGCCATTGATACAAGAAGAAAATTTTCCATTCCAACGAAAACCAGAAAAAAGTAGATCTGAATAAAGCAGTGTATGTAACTGGTGGGTTTGTACTCCATCCAGATGTTCACCAACATCTTTGGGACTGTGATCGTGCTTACACAGATGTCAGTAAAGGACAGATTAGAGAGAAAGAAGTACATTGTGGTGTGGAGACAAGAGTGAGAGCTGATGGCCAGAATTATGAGAAGATTTCCCAGAATGGTAACCAGGTAAATGGACAGGAACAGGCAGAAGAGGAAGGGTTGCAATTCTGGGTTATCTGTCAGCCCCAGAAGAAAGAATTCAGAAACAGCAGTTTTGTTTAGGAGTTCCATGTTGTTGATGATGCTGATGGAAAAAACTAAAGTGGAAACAACAAAATCAGTAGCTGTCCGAAGATGTTAGAAATACAAATATTGAGCTGCAGTGGCTCAACCCTGCAATTCCAGTTATTTGGGGGATTAAGATCGGGGATTAAGATAATTGTACAAGGCCAGCCCAGGTAAAACATTTGCAATACCCCATCTCAACAAATTGCTGAGCTCAGTGACAAGTATCTGACATCTCAGATACATGGGTGAGTGTTTTCAGAAGGATCACACTTCCAGGTCAGTCTGAACAAAGAATTCTGTGAGACTGCATATTAAGAAATGATGAATGTGGTGGTTGATGCTCATAATCTCAGTTACAGCAAGAATTATAAAACAGGAGGATCGTGGCTCAGGAATGCCTGGGCAAAAACAAGACCCTACATCAAAAATAATCATAACAAAAAAGGCTGGTGGAGTGGCTCAAGCTGCAGAGCACGTGCCTACCAAGTGCAGATTCCTGACTTCAAACACAAGTAATAACAAATAAGAAAGAGAAGGAAGGAGCAAAAGTAAGAAAGAAAAAGAAAGAAAGGAAGGAACAAGGGAGGAAGGAAGAAAAGAAGGGAGGGAGGGAAGGAGGGAGGGATGAAGGAAGGAAGGAAGGAAAGAAAGAAAGAAAGAACAAAGAACAAAGAACAAAAAAAAGAGATGAAAGAAATACAAATGCTTTGCCAAATTTCTGACATAATTCTGATATATTCTTAAGGTGAAGACCAACAATATATTCTCCATGAAGCCCTGTGGATGTATGAAGAATTTAGAGAACCAGTGAACTATAACCCAAAATTTCTCAGGGTATGTTCAACTCTAGTGAATATTCAGATACTTTCCTTTGCTCCTTTCTATCTCTGTCCCTCTTAATTCATTCTTCCTTTTCTCTCCCATACCTTATTGAAATATTTTTGTTCAACATCAACTTTTTTCATGCATTTTACTAAGTGCAGAGAATGAAGGAAAGTATAAGCCATAGCTTTTCTATCAATTATTCCTTGCCATTACAAACAAAGAAAAGAAAGAAGTGCTAAGATGACATCTGGGAAATATCCCACAACATCTCATCTCACAGGTACACTAAATTGAACAAGTAAACTCACTCCAAACTTCCTCCAGAAAAGCTAAGGAAATCAGGATATGCAGTACATAGATGTGTATACACGAATATCACATGAACATGACAATAGCTATAGAAGGAGCATGGGGTCCAGTTATAGAGGGTGTGTGGTGAGGCAGTAGCAGTGGTTCACATCCCTGGTCAAGATTATCCTGATCTGCTACAAGGAACTTCCAAATCATGGGATCACAACAATCACAATAGTGTCACAGAAAACCTCAATAATTCAAAAGATAAAATCCTGATGATCAGTACAGCCCTGTTACTAGCTACAGATGCATCTCAGAAATCTCATATTTGCACATCCAGTGACCAGCAATATTGTCATTGATTTGAGAAAAGTGCTGTTCCAGAAAAGAACAGCCTTTGCATCAAGTCCACCAAAGATCAGGTGGGAAGTGAAACCAGAAACTGAGAGGTTAGTACTCTAGCCTCTGGAAGCCAGCATGGAAAATTACAATCAGAATGAGTCTATTTGTCATTACTTTGGCCCTGGGTCAGGGCCTGAAATTTTGTGGAACCACTCTGCTGCTAGGCTAAATTTCCAAACATAGTCCCAACTTATCCTATCATCTTAAGTTTTAATAAATCAAAAAACTACTTTGAGGAGGAAAGGTTAAGGTCCTCCTCTCTAACAATGAAGAAAATATTGACTGTTCATTTTGTCTGTGTCTTTGAGTTTTTTAAGTTTGTCTTAGGCATTTTTTTCTTTCTTGCTCACTTGCTTTCTTTTTTATTCTGTTTTTGTCCCTTCCACTGTTTGTGGTCACTAACATGAGCAACATATATCCACCTGTTGCTACTCAATTTTAAAGCATCTCTTCTCTTTGCCTCTGCTATCATGCTCTCCATCTCTCCTTTCTTTCTGTCAACAATTACATCGTTCTGTACTTTATTCCGTTACTTTCTTCTCTATTTACACATCCATGAACCCTCTTTTTTGCCATTATTTTTGAAATAGTATTAGATTTCCAGATCACTTTTTTCTCTCACCATCCTTTCAGCTGTAACTTTTTATCTCCTTTTACTTTCTCATTATCCTCTTCTATTTTGTTTAGCTGCCTCTTCTTTCATCATGATAACACCATGCATCTTGTACTATTCAGTCATATCATCTTTCCTCTCTTAATTCAGTTATTATCATTATGAACTAACGTCTTCCTAGTTCACAAGGTATTATTTGTTCTCTTTTATTTGTCTAACAATTCTGCAGTAGCAGCAATGATTATTCTTAATCAAGGATTACTGTATTTTATACTGAGTATGTCTGTTGACTGTCATTGTTTCTAAAACTTGTAAAGTCTTCTCTACCCTGAGTGGACTAAAGAACTAAAGGACTAAAGGCACTATAACTTGGGTACTACCCAATGTTGTCTAAACATTTTGATTACTTTAACTGAAAGGACTCAGTAGATTAAAGCTCCAGCCAAACTTTGGCATTACATGCATAAATTTCAAAGTAGACACACAAGCAGTATAACAAAATAGGTAAAATATCTCCTCCTCACGTCAACAGTTCCACACTAAAGGGCTTAAATGATAGTGAAATGAATGAAATCTCAACAAAGGAACTCAAGAGAATGATGGCAAGTATGATCAACAAAATTTAAAATGACATGTTTAACCATCTGAGAAAATTTAAAGAGAATAAAAGCATACAGCTGAATGAACTCAGAAAGAATTTTAATAAACAAATAAAATGTGGAGGACAATGAGTCATAAAAAAAGCAGAAATCAATAAAATCTAGAAATCCTAAAAAATGAACTTGAAATTCTGGAAATGAGAACCTCAATAACTTAAATGTAAAAAAAAAACAGCTGAAATTCTTGCTAATAGCATGGGTAAAGGTAAAAATAGAATATCAGGACTTCAAGATAAAGTAGAGGAATTACACCACTCAGACAAAGACAAATAAAATACTAAGAAAATGTGAACAGAACATGCAAAATGTCTGGGACCCATTAAAGACCAATGTGCAAATCATGTAAAAAAGAAGAAAAAGTACAAGTTATGAGCATGCATAATATATTCCATAAAATTATAGCAGAAAAATATCCCAATCCTGATAAAGAGAGTTATCAAAGTAAGGAAGCCTTTGAAGACATTAAAGAGAAAAGATCAAATAAAAACTTCCACAAATTATATTATAATTAATACAACAAATACACAGAAAAAGAAATAATATAGAAAGAATATTGAAAACTGCAAGTGAGAAATGACAAGTTATATACAGAGGCAGAAGGAGAAAGGAGAAGGTACTGGGAGGTGAACATGATTGAAGAACATTATATATTTAAACGGAGATAGAGTAATGAAACCAACTAAATTCTGCTTGAAAAGGGGAAATGAATGGGCTTAAAAGAGCATAACAAAGGGATTAAGTTTGATGAAAATACATTGTATGTATCTTTGGAAACATAACAATCAAACATCCTTGTACAATTAATTTTTGGTAAGAAAAATCATGAAGGCCTTGATACAATATGTCCTCTAGAAAATTGGTTTACAAACTTTTGTTTACCTCAGAACAACTTGAAGTTTTTGTCAAATTTCATATTTGTAATTTCTTACGAACATCCACATTTATTCACAAGGACACTTAGATAAGGTATGTCATGGAAGAGTAGAACACATCAAATAATATGGCCTCTGGGCTGATTTTTGAACAATCACTGCTTATGCTTCTTTATAGGGTACAATCAGCTTTTATAAATGAGCAAATAATTTTCACAGTTTGTCTCTGTAATTTTAATATGTTCTTCCTATTCAATGACTCTAAGATTTACCTGTCCTTAAAGATTTTTCAGCTTCCCATGGAGTTTTTGTGGTGGGTAGATAAAGTTTATCCAGTCACTCCTCAGCAATAATTAGAAAAACATACCTTTAAACTTGAAAGTAATGACTCCCACTTGCAAATGCAACTGATTTAATTTAACTATTAATTCCAACAGAAATTGGAAAACCCTACCTGATATTCTCAGTCTCATTCTAAGTGAGTTCATCTCTTAAGATTTTTGGACAGCACAATATTAATAAAACAACTAAAAGAAAGAAAAATTAACTGCATAGAATCATAAAAAATATAAAAATTTTAAAAATGATTTTTGCTCTTCAGAGAAAAAACTTTAAATACTTATGTTAATAAGACATTCATAAAATAATCTACACTGTCCCTGTAGAACAGTGGTGTCTGTGTTAAGTTGTAGATAGAAGAGGCTATGTCAGAAATTGCCATTTAGTGTGATATTGAACTCACATATCGTAATTTTATCTTCCCTCCATTACAGCTCTTGTGGATCGGGAAATAATTTCAACTGTATGAGAGCCTGGATGGTAAATTTACAAAATGGGAATGGTTTGATGGATACATTAATTAAATTGATTGTTGTAACCATTTTGTAATGTGTATGTATATCCAACCAGCATGTGTACTCTTTAAGTATATGCAATATTTATGGAACTATGTTTCAGTAAATATGGAAAAATCCTGGTTTATAATTCCTGATTAGAGCAGATTTGAACAAAAGCCCCCAGGATAGAAGGGTAATCAATGTAGGTGTCCCAGATAATGACATTTCCTATTGTGTTATTTTGTGTCATGCACAATTGTGCGTGACACTCCATATCTCAGAAGGCAGAAATGAGCCAGGGAAGTTGGGGGAAAGTAGAAATAAAGATAATATCCCTAGGATTACAAAGGAAATGTGAGGAAATTATTGACATGTTAAAATTACCACTGGGAAAGCATTCATGCACAAAAATGAGTAAAAAGCAGCAACATTACAAATATTCATTTGATATGAATTGATGACTAAGAAAATTAACTAAAATGAATTAAATAACAAATGTGTA